GGTCATCTATGCATACAGATTAACCATATATAAGTTTGATAGTAATCACGTAATTAGAAGTTAAGTTACTCAAAGTGATATTTTAAAGACACAATTTAAAGGGATTCAAGACATATTGCGACCACAAGAAAAGTTTAGGACGACGATGCTGGACGACAGACATTTTGCCACTATAATGAGTTACCCAAATTCACTCCATTTCATTACGGGTAAGCCAAACATTAAAGTACGACACGAAATATTTTCTGTCGTCAGAGTGAATATCTGGCTAATATTACAAACACACAGAAGTACTTACCAAAATTCAACGCAATGTTGCCACTGGTCTGTCCAAACTGATTCTTGGCAACAATCTTATAATTGCCGCCATCACTCGGTGTCACAGAATCAATCTCCAAGGAGACCACGTAAGCGTTCCCTTCGGGCAAAACATCCATGAAATAGCGACCGCCATCCCGGATTTCGTCGTTGCCACGATACCACGTGATTGACGGTTTTGGATTCCCGGCAATTTTACACGCGAATGTCAGGACTCGTCCATCCGAAGATTGATTGATGTACGGCTTCTGCACAAAGGTTGGCCCAATTTCGCCTGGTTTCACCATGATGAAAGTTTAGTACCTGGAATCAAGAAAAGGAAATTCAGTTAAAAATATGGAACATGGATTCCGTTATTGAAGTTTTGAATAACCCGAAGAAAAACAGGAGAATAAGCAACACCGAATTATCTTAACTTTTCAATAGAACGAAAAGCATCCCTTTTGTCTTTGTGATAACCCCATTCACATACGCATCATTTATGTGAACGCACTGCGGATTGACGTAGAGGGCGATGTAAGTTATTTCGAGACAGTTATTTTGATAGTATACAAAGTTGCCATAAATACACTAACAGATATTTATATTGGATCTTAAGCGACCAGCAGCTGTTATGTCATGTCACAAATGTGGTATTTTCAGCAGGTCCCTGGCAAAAACCTGGAAATGCAGAGATGTGTGTACCGCCCACTGTGGCGGCGAACTTCCCACGGGATGCATGATTGGGTATGTGAATATTTTCACGATTCTATGCCTGGACTAAATTCGCTGAGTGGCATTAAATGACAACTATTAATATGTGTATGTTTATTTTGTTGGTTCATCGCCATCAGCACAGGAAATATAAATGGATTGGAACTTGTAATAGTTGCTTTTGTTTGTTCAATGCTCATTCACCACAGATGACAGAAATAAATAAATAGAACTGTCTCCTTGACTATCCTTATTTGGGAGGTGTTAATGTGACAAGGGTCCCGCATGTGAATAATATTTTGCTATTATAAATAAACATATTTTGATAAGTTAATGCCAGTCTTGTCAGCTTTCATTTTTGTTATGTTCTTGTATATATAGACGAGAACTGGTACAAAAACCAGCTTGCATTGAATTCTCGCCGGGTGGCCACACAAATTTGTACATGCGTGTAGGACAGGAGAGTTTTCTCTTGTCTTGATTAGTTTGTCTTACAATATAAAATTAACAATAAAAACGTGAAACAAAGATACCCATATTAAAATTAATTAAAAAGCAGAAATTATTTAAATAAAAATAAGACAAATATTTCAAAGCAAAAAAATCAGATCAAAAATGAAATTATTCCCTTCTTTCTATTTCATTTCAAAATTTTCTCCATTTTTTAATTGTACTATTTTTAGTGATTATTTTTTATTTATGTTTTAAATTGCAAAATAAAATAAAATAACAAGGACAAATCAAATGCCATGAATAGTAATTCAATTAAGTAGCAGCCTTAAGCCCGTCAAATGTTTGTTTTCAAGTTAGTGCATGGAAAAATGTACCTAACATCTACTAGGAGAGTGACTGTGCTAACATGAATTGTTTTTACGACTAGGATTAACCACACGTTGCAAACGGAAACATGCATAGATACGTGTAATACATTAAAATTAAAGAGTTCGGAAACATTATAAAGCGTTACATAAATGGATGTCGTTGTTTCACGATTTGTTAAAACGACATGGTTCAAGGAAATGGCCGTCTAGTGGCGTCACGTGTTTTTTCATATTCTTGATTTAATATATGTGTCCTGACATTCATGGTGTTTAGGACATTTCCTGTAGAATATAAAGTCGTACTGTGTCGTCATGATAGCTGAAAACAGTGAGCAACTTCTGACTTCAACGGCAACGAATCGGCAATTCTGAGAAAGAGCTTAGAACGAATGCATCATGTCCATACATCTGATATGATGTTTTACTTATGAATGCAAACCAATGCAATCACGTCAGGTGACACAGGAACTATATGCCATAAAGCATATTGGTGTACTTATCATCGGGCGAAATATGTCGAAAAGCATTCGTTAAACAAAATTGCCACTAGTCGGCAATCGTAAATACTGGTAGTAAGACAAACGGTACACCAAAGCCCCACGATGATTAATGTATGTAAGTGTCAACAAAATCCATCCATGCATAACCAAGAGACATTCTGCCATCTTGAATTTGGTCGAATATATTATGCATAATACTAGTAGTTTGTGATTTATACATGACACGTGCACTTGAACGTGTATTATACAGCATGTATTTTGTATTATAATATTACTATCATTTTCTTTTTTATTATATTTTAAAATATTTTCCAATTTAGTGTTGTATCACTAGTATCTTGGAAAATATACGTGCAGGAACTTTGTCTTTTGAGATATCAAAAATATTGATTGATTGATTAAGCTTTTGTAACCACAAAACACACAGTTTACGAAGATAACAACAATCACAACAACAACGCAAAAACGACAACTACGAAGACAGACATTTTCCCCTTATATACCTTTCTTTCCCACTAATGATACGAGCAAAGTAAAAAGCACAGTACAATGACTACCACCACACGCTAATAAGTAAATATTAAGCAGAGACGTGGCAAATATTTAGAAATATGATAGTTGAGAAACCTAGTGGTGCTGTTACAGCATATGCGGAAAGAAATTGCATTCGTCTCTTCTATCAACTATAGTTATTCCAAAAGCTTGAAATCGCAATGTCCAACTCATTCGTAGTTATTAGAGGCCAAGACATTTCTACAATAAGTTCGAAATTTCAACCTTACAAGCTAAATGTTATATTATTTGGCTCAAACAGTTTAGGGTATTTTTGTAAATTAGTTAGAAATTAAAGTGAAAACAAATCTCACACAGATGCGATTTCAAAAGGTTAAATTCAGGGCATACATTAGATAGTATAAATGTTTATATGCACTCCTTCAGAACCCAAGTTCAATTGATTGATTGCCAACACGTGACTACGGGCTGTACAGTCAAGTTCAACGCTGCATTGATAATTCAAACTCGATGGAATACGTGCGATGTTAAAGAGCAGAGAGTTTAAACGAGTCTGCTTCCAACGTCTCCTATTTGGACCACATGGGTATGATGTTTACTGATCATATTGCAGACACGTTCTTCATCAAATGCTGTTATAAGACAATAAACCCAGAATGCACCTTGATAAGAAACCCTTCACGTAATATTGGAAAACTCTGCTGGAAGGCATTCCTATGGACATATGAAGTGCAATGCTCCGATGACTCGTAAATGACTCCTCGGAAAAGGGTCTTCTAATCGCTAATCCAGAAATGTAAGTGAAATAAATGAACCATCTTACATATCCAAGTCAACAAAACATACATGTCCGGGCACTGGCTCTTCAGTTTGGTAGAGGTGTGCGACCGGGAAGTAAAACACCAGACCCCACTGTAGACCATTTTCACATCAAAAACCATGCCCCATTATAGACCAAATAGTGATTTGTTATATCCCATCAGAGACTTTTTTTGTCACTAAATTTATTCGGTTATAGCATAGACCCTCCATCTACTGCAGGGTTAGGGTTATAGGTTGAATCTACTCATCATCGGACGCATCAATAAAAGTACTAAAACTTGAGTAAATACATGGAAATTAAAAAAAAACATATACCATCCCTATCCTAGACAGGCAAACCTGATATTGGACCTTAAAGGCAAGCAAATCTATAACCCATTCTAGACCAAACAGCTAAAAATTACGACCCCAAAGGGCGGCACGTCCCCATAATGTGATTTGCATTAAGTGACCCCGGGCATACATGCTACTCGTAACATATTCATGAATGACGTACGAGACTAACACAATGACGTCATGGTGTTCATTGAACATTCAAATCAGAGGTTTCACATCACGTTTTTACTCGCAAACCCAATTGAATTGGAATACATGACCTCTGTGACGTCATAATGACGAATATGAATATACACAAAGTCGTTCAGGGAGACATCTTTGTTTAGTCGTTCGTCTTTTGGCATATTTCTGAAAATAATATTCCTTTGACTACAGATCCAACATTATTGATGGGGTGAATGCCGTACGTGTACCTTGCATATAGGGAGTCATTTATAAGACTGGTATGTTTCACATTGCAGTTAGTCTCTCCGTAGATGATTATTTTTTTGTTTATTTTTCTATAAATAAATAAATTCTTTTTAAAAAATAGTGAATCATATCACCACAATTCAAATCTTATTGTAAAACTTGATCCAGTCTAATTATATCGTAAAACTTGAGAGATAGGTTTATTTTGCATATATGTCCAATGAATTCGACGTGTACGCAATTAAATATGATAATAGTATGCAAGTTGATTCAACCAAACAGACACTGACAATATTGGAATAGTTGTTTCAGCTGAGTACTCCATTTTGACTAGACCACAATTTCACACCCGATTGATTTTCACTCAAAAATGCTTGATTGTTCTGGTGTTATGTTTAATAACACATTTTAAATGACACCACTTGGAAAAATGCTGTTGCGTGCCTTTAATGGATAAGTTGTGAAACCGTTAGACAAGACATTCCCCAACATATGTTCATTCAGATGCCGAGTATGTAAGCGTCTGTCTACTTTTACAGAAAGACTTTGCGACATTTCAAAAATAATGATTTATTTGCCAAGTCAAGGTATGATAGAGAGATACTTGTAATTTATCGCCGAGGGGAAAAGTTGAAAGAAATACAAAATATCTACGACAGAATTCAATGGAATCCTTGTAATAGCTGACCGTATTAGCCATGACCCTTTAAATAATAGTTAGATAGATATTTGGAGGACAAAATGGCGAGTTTCATAACTACTTCATGGACAGACATGTCACGTGATAATGGCACCGCTTATGATATAGCATTTCAAAAGGCAGCAGTAATTACTCACACGTGTACGTACATTCGAACGTATTTAACTACCCAGAGGTTGAAGTAAGTGTTTTCTTCGTGTATTTTAGTTTTAGCAAATTTTTGTGGCGTCCAACAATGTCAAAACGGGTTGTGACAGTATTAAGGTGAAACAGAGACAGGTGTTTTCTTAACTATGTCATTTGAAAACTCGGTCCTCGAACTTTACAAAATAATAAATTGTAAATTATTTGCTACTCTACTTGAATGTATGTATATACAGTGCGATGATGAATTCATATAACGTGGGGACGTCACCGGGACGTCAAGGACTGACTGGTTGGCAAATGTCACTTGTAGTCACTTGTGGTTGGCCTGACCCCGTAGACTATCGCCACATTACGTACACA